CTGGCCTGGCTTGTGGCTTGGAAACCGGGATCGAGGGTCTCCGTTCTCAAGTAGGGCTGAGGATGCGCTAAAGCACACTCGGTGGAACAGGGTCATCCGTTCCTTGGCACTGGTGGTCCCCAGTGTCCTCTCAGTGAATTAAGCCGGGGCAGTACCCAGGGGTGGGGGGAAGCACCGTCCTCTTGACTCTGAGCCCCCGCTTGGTCTCCCCAAGGCTCCTCGGGCACCTCTGCTGCTCATGACTGCCCAGGGACTCGTTGGCCAGGGTCGAGAATTTACGGCCATCTCGCATTTGCCACTTAAGTGGCTACGTGAGGACTTTGGACAAACCGCTCAACTCATCAGGCCTTTCGTTTGGAGAGTAAGAGGTGTAAGATCACTAGATCTTCTAGTTTCTCTAGCTTTAAAATCTAAGATTTTGTGGTTGTACCGTTTGTTGAGCTTTTACACCATGGAACCTGATGGAAGTAGGCATACTCACAGGTCGATGAAAAACTCCGATTTCATTTGGTTCATTACTCACTGTTTTCGTTATCATTGATCTTTTTAAATTGACTAGAACTTGAAATTCTGGTTTAGGTGACAAACCAGTTAAAATAGCGAAGCCACTTAAAAGTACGAACTTGAAGAATCTCAGTATTTGATAATATTGACTATTAAGTAGTAAATTCTGGTCAACAAACACTTGTAGGGTATTTCTGAGAATATACTTAAAATATAGATGAATTTGTTGGAGAGAATAGATAAGACTTTTCACCTGCAGTTAATTTGCGTTTTCTGAGTTCACAGATGAAATTGGAAAGTGAGGCGGTTAGGATGGCTTCCCATGATATAGTGGAGTTTCTGGAGCCATGGAAATCTCATTTGTCAAGCTGAGGAAGAGTTTCAGTAGGTTTCCAATGCTCTTTAGCTTTAAAAGTTAAAAAGTCTGTAATAGTACTGAGTATTGAGTGGGCATTTTGCAGTGATAAGGATCTAGGAGTCCCCTTGAGATAAACATTTCCTACTTTAGATGTAGAAAATCGCCCCAGATTCAGCCTATCTCTAGTTTAGTCTTTATCTTCAGGCTCCAAACTGAAGGGAGGGACACTCATGGCAGAAAGGCCCAAGTAAACTGAAAGAAAGGTTAAGAAAATGAAGGGAACAGTTTGATTTCATCACTCTCCTTGAGTAAGGAAGGAGAAAATGCGGATGTCTGCAGCATGTGCTACCAGTGGCACTTGAAAAAGCTGCTCTCAAAAAGACAGCTCTAGCTCCAGGTATATTTCAGTGTGAATCACAAACATAATACTAGAAGAACTTTATGACATTCACTGAATCAGTGACTAAGCTCTGGAGTGGGGTTGGCTCCCTTTTTCTGTAAAGAGCCCTAATATGTAATTATCAGAATGAACTGATTTGCTAGCATGGCCAATTATTATATACTATGGTGTAACAAACTTCTTTTTTGAAATTATGTGTAGCAGTCTTTTAAAGCAAAATTAAGATATAAGGACATTGCAGAATGTAGTTTGTTGTATGACGCATAGCAAGTGCTAAGCAGGTAAATGTCAAACGAGTAAATTCATGATATGCTTTGTTTTATTTCTAGGGGAAAAGCTAACAAATTTATATGAATGTCAAAGCCATATTTTGTCTGGATTTGGAATATGGAATGCATTTCTCTGAGCTGGGATCCTCTTTTACTCTCTTTTTCAGGTACTAGATGACATATCTTAACTGGGTTGCTCTAAAGGACTAATGCCTAAACCATCTCAACATGGCCTGTCGAGGAGGAGGTGGGCATGGCCATGGTCCCTCAGCTGCGCTCTACTCTGTACGCCCTGGAAGATTTTTCACATGTAGAACTCGTGCTCATAATATATGCATGGTGTCGGACTTTTTCTACCCGAATATGGGAGGCGTGGAAAGCCACATTTACCAGCTGTCTCAGTGCCTGATTGAAAGAGGACACAAGATCATAATTGTCACCCATGCTTACGGAAATCGAAAAGGCATCCGTTACCTCACCAAAGGCCTCAAAGTCTATTACTTGCCTCTGAAAGTTATGTACAACCAGTCTACAGCCACGACCCTCTTTCACAGTCTGCCTTTGCTCAGGTACATATTCGTTCGGGAGAGAGTCACGATAGTCCACTCACATAGTTCCTTTTCTGCCATGGCCCATGACGCCCTCTTCCACGCCAAGACAATGGGGCTCCGTACAGTCTTCACGGACCATTCCCTTTTTGGATTTGCTGATGTCAGCTCGGTGCTTACAAACAAGCTTCTAACTGTATCTCTTTGTGACACAAACCACATAATTTGTGTCTCTTATACTAGTAAGGAAAACACTGTGCTAAGAGCAGCATTGAATCCTGAAATAGTGTCCGTCATTCCTAATGCTGTAGATCCTACTGACTTCACTCCAGACCCATTTAGAAGGCATGATAGCATAACTATTGTTATTGTCAGCAGACTTGTTTACAGAAAAGGTAATGAAATGAAATGATAGCTACAATTGCACTGCACACTTTTTTTCCTACAGAAAGCTGTTGAATACTTGTTTATAATGATTGTTTGGCTTTTTATTTTGTATTACGGTTTTATGACTACTGCATTAAATATAGCAAAGAAAGGTTGAATATTGTTTTATACATTCAAAAAAATTTTTGGAACAGTGGTGAATGCCACCTCCCCCACAACCTTTGATGTTTTAATAGTCACTTTAAAAACAACCACCTGATGCCATGTAACAGATCAGCATCAGGTGTTTTTAAAAGTTAAAACAAGCCTGCACATGTGGTAAGACGTACAGGGCCAAGCCTACCACCGGTTTCTAATTGCAAAAGTAATGTCTTGTCTTTGCAAATATTGAAAACTGAGAAAATCACAAAGATGAAAACTAAAATCAGCTGTTACTATTCAGGGATAACTAGTGAATATTTTAATTTATAGCTTTCCTGTCTTTTGTGCAAATATTCACAATCATTGAGCTCATTCTGCACATTACTTTGTAGCTTGCGTATTTCATTTAATGATAGATGAGACATTTGTGATGTATTGGCAGGTAAGTGATGAAGGAAAGGGCGGGCTCTGTCCCATTCTGTGATCGAGGACAAGCTATATAACATTTCTGAGTCTCAGTTTTTTCATTTGTGTAATTTGGGCAGCAGTGGGAATCTTGTGAGGGTTCAGTGATGGTTCCTATGAAGTACTTAGGCCAGTTTGTACTTGATGAGTGCTGTTGTCAAGGAGGACTTTTTTTTTTTTTTTAAATATCTTTATTGATTTCAGAGAGAGGAAAGGAGAGGGAGAGTGATAGAAACATCAATGATGAGAGTCATTGATCGGCTGCCTCCTGCACGCCGCCGACTGGGGATCCAGCCCGCAAACCGGGCATGTGCCCTGACCGGGAATCGAACCCCGATCACCTGGATTCTAGGTCGATGCTCAACCGCTGAGCCACGCCCGGCCGAGCAAGGAGGACTTTTTTAGCGCCTCTGCAGCACTTCATGGTCGCTGCAATAGAATTTGTAGAGCCTCATTTACTAAGTCTGAAACAGCCTGTTTAATCCAAACATAAATGTTCTGGATGCTCTTTGGAAACTTATCCAGTAATCAAAATTAAAGTAAGGAATCATTAAAAAGGTAATATATAACCTCCCCTTAAATATTTGAGTTCAATTCAAAATATTAACGGGCACTGAATTGCCAATAGTTTGATGTAGGCCTGCAGGCTTAAGAGTACTAGTCCACTGATTTGAGCTGCATCTTTCCTACAGTTACCTTGAAAAAGCATCATTTACAATTGCCAGTTTGGTTTCTTTTAAATGGGGTGAGAACTTAAAGGCATATGAAGTAACGTGCTTCTAGATTTTCATTTGTTTTTGATTTTATACAGTGGTTTAGGATACTCCCTAATCTGATGAGATTTTTCCTGTGACTTTATTCTTCAAACCACTCAGCTTGTTTTATAGGAAGTCAGTTTCTGTGCTTTTAATTAAATTACCCAACACAGTAACAAGTGCAGCTGGCATCGAACAGATTTGGGGACAACACAGCTGATTCTTGGTAAGTGTGAAGCTTAGCGGCGGGATCAGAAGTGTACCAGTGTACTAGGGAGTGGCCTAAAGTCCACTTTGCCGTTGTAATGGAGAGCCGTGGTTGATTGGGCTCTTAAGCAGAGATTGGTGATAAAACTTACTGAACTGCATTTTCTGGGATGAAAGCAATGGCTTGCTGTCATCCTCTAGCCAAGAAGATGTAATGGACCAGCATTCTCTATTCTGAATCCCTCGGGATATTGCTGATGTGTTTGTTGTAACTTAGAAAATGTGTTTAAAAAGTTTTCTTAATCAAATAGTAAATCTTTTTGGGATAGCTAGCTAAGAAGGTATGGTGCATGCATGGTGAAAGATCAGAGCAAAATTAACTTGTTGACTGGCTATTTCGAGCCATAGCTCGCCTGTGCGGCCGACTATTCTGTCCTGACCAGTCAGCAAGGTGTTTAAAATTACTTAATGTAAGTGCAGACACGAGTTATCTCGTGACCGGTCAGCAATGTTCGGACACGAAAACACGTGTATACTCGTGCCTGGTCAGCAAAGTGTTAACTGTTTGTACAACAATTAAACCTGTTACCTGTACTTCACTAACAGGTATTTTAACCAGCTGAGCTAACTACCAGCAGGGTGAAGTTACAGCCTTTCCCGTTATCAATTTAGTATTTAAATACTTATCGACCCCTCTCCATGTGCCAGGGATCATGCAAAAAATAATATTCTGAGGAGGAACGGCCACATCTGTAGCCCCAAAGCAAGTAGTTATGTTAATGATCCAGTAATGATTAACAAATTAATTTTCTTAGGTGTTCATTTGGACCAGATATGAAAGGCCCACTGGAATGTATTAAGTAAGCGACAGGATAAATCCAAAGTCTTATCACCCAGGTCTCCTGGCTGGCTGCTTCCCTCTTCTCTTGAGCCCCTTTTGTTCAGTTTGGGGTTCACAGGGCTGCTGCGAATGTGCAGGCGAGCCCCAGTTCTGGCGGTAGTGGTAACGACAGCTTACATTTATGTTCTGCAGTTGATAGAGCCTGTGCATCACTTGACCCAACAGCTGTAGGGTATATGCTATCTGCATGTAAGAGACAAAGAAACAGTCTCAGAGAGGGTAAGTAATTCGCTCAGGTTACACAGTAAGTAACAGATGACAAACGTGAATTCAGCTCCTCCTGAGTTAGTTTCCTGTTTCCTCCACCCCAGCCCAGTCACCATTATCTTAGGTATAGATTCAGAAGATTCTTTAAAATATTGTTAAATTGAACTTTAAAGGCAGTTCGAATCAGGCATTTTCCTTGCCCATTTTGGGTAACTATGGAGATTGAAAGTCCTTCTGTACGTTCCACTGTGTTTGACTCTTAGAGGCACCAGAACATTTTTTATTGTTGTTGGGG